CTAAGTAAAGGTGTAACAAAATGTCTCTAGAATAGACATATGGCAGAAAAAAAAAAATCCCGTATCCAGGGAATTTTGTTTTTGCCATGCATTGGTCATAGAGCTCTTTGTAGCGGTGCCTCAGGTGTTGAACTAGATTTGTAGCGCCAAGTTCACACGTACTCCATCTGCAGTGCGTATACAGTATGTCTGATTGGTTCGGATAGCATACTGTGGGAGGTCGGGGGCGCGGAAAATCGTGCAATAAAGCGATTTAGAAATTACGCAAGATCAAATCACGATTTTACGACGATTTCGATTAATCGCACAGCCCTAGTCTAAGGTAAGACGCCAGTCCAGTCTGTGCTGAAACGCTACTGTCAATCAAACTATCATGGGAGGGGCCTGTCTGTGTGACGTCACACAGACAGGCATCTGAGATCGGCTTGATTTGAAAGAGGGGAAAACATTTAACGAGATAAAAAAAAATTACATTATATTTAAAAAAAAAACATTATAGGGTGGTTGTGTACACACACTGCCAACACCCATTTAAGTTCAAACAACTTGTAAAAGTGCATGTAGCATCCTATGACCCCTTTAAAAAATATCATGTTATATCTACTATTACAATACCTTGGTTTTGAGCATGTACCAACACTTGTGGTAGTACCAGAGTATTTTTTTGTTAGCGTCTAGTTACTATGGTAAATTCCTGTAACGATTGTCAAAGCTGTTTTTTTCTCTCTTCACATTTAGGTAGTTACATGCTGTCCAATAGCAGATCAGTGATCTGCTAAACAAGGCACATACATCCAAAACAAATATTTAAATTAACCAAAACTATTTTAATAGTTTTAGTAAACAACAAAAACACTGGTCACATATTTGATCAAAAATACCTAATTTAGGGTTTCCACATGTTCTTAATTCCGAAATCAAGATACATTTAATTGACAAGCAACATGACAAAAATAAGATGTTTTCTGTCAAATTTATGAAAATGAAGTGAGTTTATGATTAAAACAAGAACAAATATCTACCAATGGGCTCAGAAAAATCAACATAATTGAAAAGAAAAACAAATTTTCATACCCCGCTGACAGATGTTAGTTCATATTTTTAAGCATAAATTCACTCAATTTTGCTCAGTTTCAACTTTACAGATCTTCTTTATGCACCAAGAGCTTGTAACACTCCAAAGAGAAAGGAAAAATTGAAATCGCATCATATGACCCCTTTAATATCATCTAATGATTCTTGTTCTAACATATGCATGACAAGATTTTTGTAATATGAACTATTGTTACACTGAATAACATTTTAATGAGTGTCTTCTGTAAATCATGTTAAAAATGTATAGTAGTCATAATGTTTTGCTCAGAAAAAAATTTTTTTACAGGACCTAACAGTTAACAGTTAAATGGTAGTAGTATCAGAGTATTTTTTTGTTAGTCACTATCTGACTGTCCACACAGTGAATCGCAACTGTTCGTATCCGATTTGTGTGTCCATAAGCGCTCTTTCGTTTTACTGAATGTGCGTTGGTTACTATGGCAATGCCGTTGCGTTGTTATGCCTACGCTAAAAACAACAATAACAGCAATACAGTTTGCAATACAGATATTGTCTTACGACATGACATGTTGCCGTCGCGCTGAATTATTATTATTATTATGGATTTCGTCTTATGAGGCAGCTTCAGAAAGGCAGGGAGTTGGAATGTGCGACTTTATACCCTGCTGCCATCACCGCTGGTTTCAACACTCAAAGAGCTGAGTATATTAGCAGTATATTGTCTTTTTCCGCTTGACTTTGACAGGTTGCAACAACACACGCTTGTTTCTGCAAATACATTTATTATGTTTTCTACAAAAACGTCTGACGTGTTTACGTTTTACGTGGCGTGAGAACGTGAAAAAGCTACACTAAATCCGATCTGAGCGGTCAGAATGAAAACGGATTTCCAGGAATGCGATTTGAATAGGTTTCCAAACCACATACGAATGTAACTGTTAGCTCGAAACTGATTTGCACAAATCGGATTTCATGTAGTTCGTTGCCGTTCAGACTATCTAAATATGATCGGATTTGCACAAAAATCGGATTTGGGCTGACAGTCTGAACAAGGCTTATGTTACTATGGTAAAATTCTGTAACGAATCGTTTCTTTTTCTCATTTAGGTAGTTACCTTCCCTTGAATAGGAAATCTGTGATGTGACTAAACGGTGTACTTACTTCCAAAAGACCCCAGGCGATCCATGCTGCAGATGAGGATGTCTGATCAGGAAAAATGTAAAACCTTCCTTCTTAACCGTTTTAAACGCAGTTGAGATCTTTACAGCTTTTTGATGAATGAAACTCAACGATTACACGGATTAAGCCTCATCGTTAAAAGGAGCAAATGAAAACAGTGAGTTTATGTGAATTTAGCACATAAATGAGGATGTAAACACTTCAGTGGGTCCGTGTCGATCCGTGCAGTTCAATGAACATCCCATGAGGGGGGGAAGTTACATTTTGTAACAGCGCCCCTAGCGGCACCTGCTTGGTAAACCTGGACAGTTCATTTCAGTTGAGCCAAGACCTCCTCCTCAGTGTAAATACTTTTTATTTGAAAAACATACAGTCCCGTACGTACAGCCCCTTAAAGTGCATACTACTATTCAAGCTTATACTATGAACGTGCATGGTGTACAACAAATATTGTGCCCATAGCCTACAACATTTAGCGTTACCAGCCCAGATCTTTCGGTAGCATCACTACACCACCAGAATAAATCATAAGTACGTTGTTTTAATGGATAACAGGTGAGGATTAGTTCAGTATCATGAAAAAAACAGATTATGTTGTTAGCGAACATACAATAAAGAAATCAGAAGTTCAATAAAATATAAAGAAGTCATACACAACTCAGAGGTCAGTTTGGTTGGCCAACGTGAACCCAGTGCCAAATCTGCAAGGGGAAACCTTTCGCATGGATTCCTATTGAAATGACTGGATTTTGCCTGCAACAATTCACCAAACAGTAAATGTGACTGCACCTTAAGAATATGGAAACCAAACAGAACAAAGCACAGAGAAATTCTTATGAATACATTGTAATTACAATGGTTTATTTATTTATTTATATGCTGGTCAGATGTTTTGCCCTTCTAATGACCAGCATGGCGGGATCTTTTCCTCCTTCTTCTTCCTGCTTTCTTCTTTTTCTCTTTAAGACGCAAATTCCCCTCTTCCTCCTCACGTTGTTCATCTCTATCCCAAAGCGGATACCTGTTCCCTCCACATCCATAAACGGGTGCTGATGCATAACCTGCAGCAACCAGGAGAACCAATCAGTGCGTTTGTTTCATCATTGGATAATGTGCCATTCTGCAGTAGGTTTGCATTTGGTAGCCCTACATCTTATATCACTTTGCAGAAATACAAATAGATCCAATGTCTCACCATAAGTGAAATATGGGTCCATGTGACGACCTCCTAGTTGGTTGCGAGTGTTCATTTGGGCCGATATAGCAGATACGGTCAGTGAAACATTCACTGGCAGCATTTGATGCGATGCTCGAGCTGAATTGGAACAGATAATGTGGTTTTCAAAGTGTTCATTACAAATAAATATTCAACAGACATACACTTGAAATTACACTTCTAAGAGCTCATTAGATGATGTTTCTCATGTCATTAGAAAATGAACAGATAAATAAATGAAAATCTTACCATCATTAAGATTGTCTGCATTAATGACTCCAGCACTAAAGCCATTTCCACGTCTGTTGCAAGTAGAAAATTAATTAATTAATTAATTAAGTTCACTCAAAAAAAGTCCATTCTATGGAAAACAAATGTTCAGAAAACAAATAATTAGCAATTGGCATAGACTGCACGCGTAGCTTTCTAGCTTATTGCGTATCCCACCCTAAAGCCTTTAAAGGAATAGTTCATCCAAAAATGGAAAAATGGCAAATTTAGAACAAATGAGAACTGTTTGCAATGCATGATGGTACTATGGTGGTTAGTAGAGTAGCCTGCATCAGATTCATTTCTTTCAATTCATTTTAAAAACCTACCTAGTTAGGTATTGATTGTAGCCAGTCATATCTGGGATACATCTTGAGGTCATGGCATAGGGTTCATCTCCATACACCACCACACCATTAAATCCATATGGATTATCCTGACACTCAACTGAAACCTTTCAAAAAAACACAAATACACAAAGCCTTTAAATTTACAATCTATGGAATTTGTTTTTGTTTTTCAATACTCATGTAATAACTGTGTA